ATCTTTAGAATACCCTTTTGCTCCTCTTCTACAAGGTTGAACCAATTGTCAAAAATAAATAAATCTACAAGAAAATTTTAACCAAATAAGTTAATTTTCCAAAAATAGTTAATATATATATTGATGAAAGCAGTTGTTATACTTGGCTATATTTAATTTGAATTATGCGCACTTCTATTATGCGCGGCGGAAACTTGGCTTGGTGCCTTCTTTTGGGTCAACGGCAATCGTTGAACGCTAATTTTTTTTATTTTTTATTTTTTACAATTCTTTTAAATTTAAATTTAAATGTTCATTTACATTTGAAACTTATCTTTTTGTTAGAAACTATTGAAAAAATGTATAAAATTTCTATAAATCTGTTTTAGATGTTTTATATGTATTATTTTTAATTATTAAATAATTTTTTGATTGATTAAAAATTAAAATAAGAAAAAGTCTTTTTACGTTTTTTAACGCTTATGACCGCCTAAATTCGTCTAACCCATAATTTTGCATTCACGCATCGTCACGCAATGCGCCTTTTAGAACACTTCTTCTACCCAGTAGAAAATTATCAAAATCTCTAATGCCACTGTAATTATCACTCATTATGTTAGAGAAAATCAAGGCGCAAGTCACTGCAAACAGATAATTTCTTATTGCTATGTGCCTGAAAGTTTTCGACCGTAGATAAAAGTGCGGTAAGTAAATTCATGTCTTGTTACCAACCGAATTATCGTGGGTATATCTATATATTCAAAACAGGCTCAATCATAAACCCAGTTTTGCCCAGTTGGTTTTTTTAATTAAAAAGATAGAATTTTCAAAGGCCCAATGAATTATTTATAAAGCTATAACCTTAACGGGAAAGCTATTTGTATAGAAAATAGCTACACTCCGTGTACAAGTGATAACGTGGTAGAAAATGAGTGATTGGATTAAATGTGTTTTCTATGGAAGATTGTATGAGATATTATCGAGTGTAAATTCTGTAAACAAAGGTGTAAACGAGGATGTATATGTAGCAAAATTGCAACCTTAATAACAACATATGAAATAATCATTTCTAACATTTTTATCAATAGTAAACACGCTACATTTTCAAATCTCTATCGCAATTACGTGCATGATTGAAAAGTGCCGATCATATGCATTCACCTAATTTCCATGCAAGGGATAATCAAAGCTTACCGACTCTTTGATTTAAGATTTGTCCATTTTATTTTCTAGAAAAGCTTCGCGACTTTAGTAACTTTAGCTATTGACTAAAGTTTTCTTCGTTTTTCTCTTGCACTGGTTGACTAAGTGCAAATATGTCTTAAGCTCGTGGCAGGTGGTAATGTTAATGCCGTTTAAATACGGCGAGCTCCGGCTGCTTAAACGGAGCTCGCTACCGACATCAGCGTACACCCATTGAGTGTCCTCGACAAATTTTTTAATCCACGTTGAAATATTAGCCGTGCGAGTATCAGAATTGTTCGTCATTTGGTCGTTGTTGTCGACGACAAAACCTGGGACTTTTGTTATGAGATCATCGGAATTTACTATACGTAGTACTTTTGTGCCTTGTCTATCGAGGTGGCTTCTAAAGCTCCGATTCCCCACTCGTGGACCGGCGAAGGATATTGCGGTGACAAGGGGGGAGTTATCGAAGGTTTTCTTAATGTCATAGGCGGCGAGAGTGGCAAGAACCGCGCCGAGGGAATGGCCGGTGATGGTGATGCTTAAAGGCTCATCATCGTAAATTTTGAGAATTCTTGAAACCTCTTCTCGTACCTGTCTTTGCAGGCTCGGACGATTTCCGATGCTGGAAGTGTACAAACTTAAAAACCCACTTTCCACCATTGGACATGAGCATTCACTTGGCTCGGAATTAGCACTGGGCAAAGGAGTGAGAGTGGCTCGGAGATTTTCCAGCCATTCCAGGCATGTAGCCGTGCCTCGGAATGCAAGTACCACGTCTCGTCGTCCAAGCCTGGAAATTTCTCTTCTGTCATGGCACACCGCCGTGTAACCGATCCAGCTTGATCGAATGGTCATCCAACTCGTTGCCTTTTCAATCCAACTTGGTAATTGAATCCCACAAGTTGCGACTAAATTCTTGGTAACTCTATATCCCGTCGTGGAAAATCCTGTTTCTTCGAGTAGCTTTCTTTTAGGGTACCGGCACGTAGCATAAGAAGAAGAAGATGGCTCAAAATCAAATGATCTATATGCAGCTTCGACGAAATTACCATATCGAATGATCTCACTGCGTAAATTATCGTCGAGGGGATCAAGTAAACCTTCCCAGTTCTTGATTCCCTGATAATCCATCCACCTCTCTTTAAGTTTCACTGGATTTGGAGACCTAAACCAGCTGGAATTATTGATATTGGACTCTATGAAAAGATTTTCCCAATAGTTGGGAACCTGGATTTTCATGATTAGGTTTTTCTTGGAGTTTTTAGGTGGGCATGCAATTTGTGGAGTGGCATTAGAAATGCATGGTTGAACAGATTTAATAGAGAGGCTCATGATTAGAAAGGCTGTGTAGTACTTTGAAGAAGCTCTCAGTAAGGATGTCACTCTTAATTTGTACCCACATACAGATGCTTGAATTGGGCTTTTATAGGATTAGAACAAACTTACTGTAGGTGGGTTAGGGACAAACATATAATATCTGTATGTATATTTATATGTACATGTATATGTGAATGTGTGTACACTGAACCCGTCATACATACATTCGTGTGATTGAAAAGTTGTGAATCTCATATAATGTGTGGTTAAAATCAGCTGTTTATTTAGATTAAAATCTAGCTTTTAATTTCTCCGGCATGCATAAACTATTGTTCACTCATTTGGGAAGAATTATTTGAACAATTTTGCCTTTCCATTTGGATTTTGAGCTTTTCACTTGTGTTCAAATTATTATGATTGCAGAATATTTTGAGTCGTATCATAGGTCATCATAGGCGTAATATTGTTCATTATTGAATGGGACCAAGATGAAAAAGCGGTAATGAAGTGTATGTTGACTTAGTACGACGTAGAGAGACAGAAGGAAAAGGCAATATACTACCTAAATCCAGAGGGGAACCAATACACTGAAAAATTAAGACACAAGTTTCGCAAAGAAATCGAATTGAAAACCTTTACTTCCTCGTCAAGGACAGCTGTTCTACCAAGCAACCAATTACCAACCCTAAAATGTAGCCACTCGCGTAGGATAAATTCCTATTCATATCTAAATGCTAGACTTATCTCTCCCAATCTAGTTTCGATTAAGTAATATGTCTATCTCTAATGTATTACTTGCTTAAGTGCTTGTCTAGTAGTTGGAACTTGAAAAGCTTATCCCTAGATGAAAGGAAGAAGCACTTCTACTATTGCCAAGATCCATTCACAATTGAAGAACGAAGAAGATTTCTAGCAATGATAACCATTAGGCATGGAGAATCCTATCTCCAACTAGAAAAGAAAGTGAAACTTGATCTCGAGATGTGTCGACCAGAACACGGTAGGTTCTCATGGAGGAAATTTGAGGTAGCGTGATTGATGGCTTTCAAAGAGCTCCCAAAGAGATGCAAGGATATGTAAACATTAGCTAATGGTGCCTATCATGATGAGAAGGGCTCTGCAGGGGGTTCACCTCATTAAATATTTCACTAATGCTTAGTGTAACGAATGAGGTAGACATTGAGGATTGACTGTTGGCCCTCAAATTCATTGAAGTTCCATTCAATATTTGCCGTTTATGACACTTTTTTAACCAAGTGCTAAAAAGTCTTTCACCACATTGTGATACCCGAACCAGAACAAACAGTAAGGGTACCGGTTTGGTTCCATTAATTACATGAACGCAAATGATTCCATTTACGAAATACACAAGGTATAATGGTCAGTTCCAAATGTTGAAATACTCAAATCAACCCACCCGACGCTGAAGCCTAGAGAACATGGACGTTGAACAAGCCAGGTCTGAGTGCAGTGAGACCCCATTTCTCTATATATATTGATTGAAGTTTGGATTTTCCAAGAAAGGGCTTTTGCTAAAAAGATGGTTTTAATTGGAATCGAACAAGTGCTATATGATAGAAGATGGAAGGAAATGTTTCGACAGCATGACACGTGCTATTTTGTCCCGCTCTGAAAATATCTCCCAAGTAGTTATCGTTGTGTGTATTTACGTGTGTGTAATCCCAAACATGGAATAGAGCCAAGTAGTTTTAGGGTACATGCTTAGTTTGGTAGGAGAAATTGCTTTTACTTGTTGGTTTTTGGGCAATTGGAATGTAGTGACGAAACCAATCCAATTTTTCCCACCCAAGAGATGTAACTTTCCAAAAAAAAAAAAAGAAAGAAAGAAAGAAAAAGGCAAAGAAGTGACACGTAATCACTTCGTTTTTAGAAACAAAATTTCACTATAAATAGGTAATTATTTAAATTGTGGGCTTTCTACTTTGAAGTATCAATACATATAAGTGATAAGTTTTGATAATATTAATCGGTTAATGGTATAAAACGCGAAAAGATACTCCAATCTACGGAATTTGAAGTGAATTTATTCGTCAAGAAATTGGTCATGAAATATATATAATTATGGCATGCAAAAATTTAGCATTAATATTCCATCTTGTGCTACTCCAATCTATAGATATGTTCTCATGCTCACAATGAGAAGTCTTATTTTGCTCATTTAGAGAGAACCTTATTTTAAAGCGTTGAAAACTTAAAAAAAGAGGCTGAAAATACTTTGCTCAAGGTGATCACGAGTTTTTAAAAACAATTTTGCTATATGTACATTGAATTTGACGTCATAGATGACATTGTTTGACGGGACAACACTTTGTGCCATTAATTTTAACAGCATTTATTCAAATCAATAGTATAATTTTTCATATGTCACAAAACGTCATCCATAATGTCACAACTAGTATAACTCTTAAAAATTGATCATGTTAATTTTGATTTTGTTTCTATCTTCTAATGTGTTTTGACCTCTATTTAGATTTTTTTTTTTTTTTTGGCTATCAATAAACTATTGGCAATTTTGGGACCTACAAGGCAGGCCACCTTTTGCAATTCTACTCATGACAAGAATAAATTTTGGGACCCATTTCCGAAGCACTCTTCGGGCAAAGGGAGGAACCCTAATTTAGCATGACACGCTTGGTTGAAGCAATGAAGTGAAAGTATTCTATCCTCAGAACTTCGACGACAAAATCATTTTTTGTACAATTGCACTTTCTTGGTACAAAAGATATCAACGAATAAACTCGTTTATTATGTTCACTCTAGCTATATATTACTTTGTATTATTCCACAATCGTCATAGAAAATGGAAAATTTCGACATATATAGAGATACTAGAACTTCAATTTCCTTATCTGACTCATAATGTTCTACCCGTGATACTTTGTCAACATCGATGTTTTCAACGAAAGTACTCTAATTTTTATGTTAGTCATAATTTGAAATATTATTTGTTTTCTTGACTTAATAAGTATACTATTTATATTGAAACGATCATTGTCTTGACTTTTAAATTCAAAACTATTCTTTTAATATAGTTTTATCTATAATTAAAAATTAAATAATTAATTGGGAGACTAGAAACAGAATTCGCAATAGTTGCTTAATTATAATGACCTATTTCTCTCTTACTTTTTTCTCATGCAATAATAAGTTGGCCTGTCTTGCCAATGATTGAGTCGTAAACGAAAAATGAACAAAGGTGGGATAGAAAAAGAGTAAGAATTCAGTCATAAGCCCCTGTTTGTTTTTATTATTGAGAATTCAATCATAAGCCTTTGTTTGTTTTTCAAGATTCTTTTTTCTATATACTCATTTTTAACCACATTTACGCGATGAAATATCCAACAAATAAATCCAAAACTTTTCCATATTTTTAAAATTACACATTCTTCAAAAGATCAGTATTTAAAACAATATTTTCCCCAAAAAAAAAAAGAAGAAGCTCATAGACAAGGGCAGTTCATACAAAAAAGGATTGTTGTGGCAGCAAAATTAGGGAGGGATGTAATATACATGTTCATAGTTTGGTGGCCGTAATGAAATAATTAAAAGTTTGAGTACTAAACAGGAATAAGGTGTAAAGTTCAGAAATTGTTTGGGCTTTTAACCCTTTTGTATATCAATTGTTTCTTGAGTTAATTTCACAAGCAATCAATGACGTTACGTCAAAATCACAAAACGGTCACTGTAGTTTAAAACTTGCACTAACGGTCACTGAAGTTACGTTCGATTTCACGAGAATGGAAGCCAATTTTGGGAGGGAATTAGGTGAAAATCATTGCTAATATCATCCAATTAATTCTTCCAAATCCTTAGTTTGAGCTTCCAATCAAGAATCACCTTTTTCAAACCTATACTTCTCCAATTTTTGTTTTTGTGCCAAAATCTAAAATTGGGGACCACTCACGAACAAAAAATTATTCGACATGTCAGATGTGGAGGAACAAGGTGAAAGTTATCACATCTTTTTTAACCTTTTTTGGTTGTATTAACTCTTCAAGTAGCATACAGTCTCCTTTAATAAGCTGGACATTAGTTAGGTCCTTTCTTTTATTGTATTGGAGGAACATGTTTGCTTTGACACATTCCACACATTTTTATTTTTCAGCCACTACACTGTCAGCTAAGAAATTTATAATATTCTATTGTCCAGATTATTTGAATAGTGATTTTGATAAAGAAGATATCACCTTCAATGATTCTGATTATAGCCTTGGTGAAGAAAACGACATTCTCTTTGAGGAAAATGTTATCCAGAATATTGAACTTGATACGAGGAATGAGATAGTGACGTTGGAAGCAACAAATGAATCTGACAATTCTGAATATGTACCCTCAGTTGATCTTCAAAGTGTGCATTTTGACAGTGACGAAGAAGTTGTTACATACCCAGAATTTAATGGTGAAGTAGATATGGTGGATCCCGTGCTTGATGTAGGACTTAAGTTTAGGTCGAAGAAGGAGGCAAAGGCTATGGTTAAAAACTTCAGCATTCATAATAGGTTTGAGGTGATATTTTCGTACAATGATAAAAATAGATTAGAAGGTCCTTGCAAAGGAAAAAAGCGTCAGTAGCGTATTTGGGCTTCGGTGTTGGAGGGAGATTCAACGTGGCAGATTAAATCGTTCGAATGGAATCATAGCTGTTGTAGAGCATTGAAGAATATAAGTGTATCCGCAAGTTGGTTAGCCCGTAGATACATTGAGACTTTTACTATTGCGCCAACATAGGATGTGAAATTGTTTAAGGCAAGTGTTTTAAAATAGTATGGTGTAGAGGTTAGTGACACAAAGGCATGGAGGGCTAGGAGATACGCTAAGGAGTTGCTTAGAGGATCGCTTGTTGTGCAATTTGGTTTGTTGGGTTCATATGCAGCTGAGATTAAGAGAACAAACCCAGGATCAACTGTTATACTATCTTTAGTCGATTTATGTTTGCTTTGATGCTTGTACGAATGGCTTCTTGTGTAGTTGTAGACCAGTTATTTGCATAGATA